GGCGGTGCCACTCGCTGCAGTGCTCACAGGGTTTGGGAGGGTTGAGGGGGGCACTGGGCGTGCAGGGAGGTGAGCAAGCACAAATAGATCCTAAATCCCAAATAAGACTGGTCCTTTCAGCTCCCTCAGACCACATTTCCCACCAAGGCGACAGCACATCAGCCGCCTGCTTTTAACCCCCAAAATATTTTGGGAACCCACCTTCTGCACCCGCACCCCTGGGAGATGCCAGCAGCCCCTGGGACTGTCTGTCCTCATCCTGGGAGCAGCAGCACTTGGAAAAAAATGCTGTTTTGCTGAATCAGGGCTGAGTGGAGATGCTTTCACCGGGGATGAAAGATGTGGGATGCTGCAGCCTCTCCCTGGCTCCCATTTGGGAATGTCTGGCTAGGGAAATGCCCTGGCAAAGGTTGGAGCATCCCAGGAGCTGGTCCACGGTCAACACACACTCCCAGCACCGATTCTGCCCCACAGCCGCTCACCGCTGTGCCTGTCCCGCCCAGCTGGGTGGCACCAGCCAGTTGTGAGCCCCCTGAGACAGGCAGGTTGTCTCCCTGCCACGCTGCGCCCTGGCTTGTTGCATTTTGCGTTACCCCGTATAAAACAGGAGCAAAGGTTGGAGCTGACGCAGAGGGACGCACCCGGCGCCCAGGCTTTGCATCAGCCCCTCCCAGCACGCCCAGCTCCCAGTGCGCATCCGTCAGCCGGTGAAGGGCGCGTGATGGATTGACCAATGGAGAAAAAAATTAATCAGGCTGGAGGTAGATATGAATTACGCAGCTAAAAATACCTCTGCGGCGTCTCCTCCCGAGACATCCCCGAGCAAAGCACCAAGGAGCCCAAATCTCTGCTGACACCCCATCAATCACCCCCCCCCCCCCCCCGGCTTCATGGGGCTGGAGTGAGCATCTGCACACGAGTGTTTCACGGGCTCGGCTGGCTTCAGCGCAGCTGATTTACTGCCGAGCCCTGGCAGGGATGCAGCGGGCCGATCAGTCAATGCTAGTGCACAAGTCCCTGAGTCAGCAGGTATCGAGCGCAGGGTGAGGCCATCCATCTCGGGGAAGCTCGGCTGCCTCAGGAGAAAGGGAGGAAACCTGCTCGCCAGCATTGTGCATAAAAAGGCTCCACTGAGGACTGCTGCGGCGGTGGCTTGCAGACCGGTCCTTCACCGCTACAGTGGCAGCGAGATGCCCGGGGCTGGTGCAGCCACCCGCGGCACCGGTCCCTGGCGGCGTGTTGGCCCCTCTTTGGCATCACGCCTTCCAGTGACAAAGTGCGCTGGGACGGTCACTGGTGGTTAAAACCAGGATCCTGCACCCCCCGCCGCAGCCTGTGCCCGGGGAGACAGGGGTGGCTGGGGGGGAGGAGGTGAAGGGGTGTCCAGACGGCATCGCAGCACTCAGCGTCATCGAACCCTTCCCTGGCAGCGTGGTTCCGTAGGGTTTACACAAGAAAAGGCTTTTTTTTCCCCCAGTTCCCAGGATGACGCTGCGCAGAGTCCCCCCGGAGCCAAGGGCCCCCCCACCGCCTTGGGGTCCAGAGCAAGGGGGGGTCCCAGCCCACCAGCACCTCCCCAAAGAGAGGACCAAGGTGCCCGGGGTTACCCCGCTTCGCAGGTGGCTTCCCCGTGGCACCCAGAGCCGGGGCACTGCCCGCT